AAATCCTCCCGTAGTTGTCAACTTAAAAAATACATTTATTCGTAAGACTGTGATTTCAATCAATCACGAACAAAATAAGCGGTAAACTTACCAGACCTTGGCACGTATTTTTCATTTTTAAAAGAAAAACATGAGACCAGATCTCTTTCGATATCGGTGTTCAAGTCATTTTGGGGGCTGATGTCACCACACTTATAAGAATCTAGTTATTGTAAAATAAAGTAATTAGTTGAAAGTGCCAATACTATTGACTGTTTCAGAGTATCCAAAAAATAAAAATAATAATGCTGTAAGTCATTATAATAATACTCAGTTTTGTCTGTCCTGAAAATGTGCGCTCACTTCATTTCAACGGATTTAAACAAAAGGCGGATGTAAATGAATATACTTTAGTATAAATTTTACCTAATAATATAATAAAAGCTTATTAAAGCTTTGAAAAAGGTCTAACGTTACGTTGTAGTATAACTTTATAAGTTTATTTACTGATACTATTAAGTGCGGTAAAGTTTAACCTTAACTAAACTCAAGCAAAAAACGTATACAAGTCACCATGTTAATTTATCTTTTTATCGAATATAGGCCGTACTTAATAAAGGCTTAACTAATGTTAGGCCTAAGACAAATGGACTTATAGATTTCGGTGTCGGAGATTAGAGTTATTTTATATTATTCTAGAAACCCTGTATTTAAAAATAAGTACTGTTGCAAAAAATATACTAATTTGCCCAATGTTTTACGGGTCTCTGTTGGTATGAAATATATCACAAAAGGAAAAATAATTCCATAAACATATTTTTTTTCAGAGATTTAAACAACAAACATTTGCCTAACTTTCTTGAGTTTTTCTCAACAACTCTCCAAGTGAATGAAAATTTTTTGACTAAACATTTACAGAACTCCATGTGTAGAATTTTATGATCAAGTAATTTTTCAAATTTATAAAAAAAGTCGAAATTTTAATACTGTATGTTACGTAATAGTTTTGGTAAATTGTAGAGTTTGAGTTTCTAATAGACTGCCTTGTTAGCCGCGGCATAGCGGCTCACAGAATGGCTCTGAGCCTTTTTTTTCAAGTACAAAGTTTTAGCTCATAACTCCATCTCTTGACCGATTTTAAGATCTAATTACAGCCGCGACTATTGAAGATTCCCTCTTGTTTTTTAATAGGACGGCGTATCTGTTTTTGTTTCGAGGATAAAACAATGACATAGTCTGTAATTAATTTTTATCATGCAACATCGCACTATTTAAAATTTTCAATGAAACAAGTTTTTATCTAAATTATTGCTAAGTATAATAAAAACATACCAATAGGGCTGTAGAAAATATTATCTGGAAACTTGATATCAGTTAGTTTACAATGTGGAGTAAACCTGTGATTGGACCAATCTGTGTTATCTTGGGTAACTACTGGTAACAATTCTGACGACGTTGTAGAAACCTTATCTACAAATAACAATTGACAGGAAAATAGAAAAGCTGAGGTAGATTAACGAGTGTAGAACCAATATGAACAAATGCACGTAAAATTAAGTGGGTAAAATAGATAAATACTATTAGTATTGACATTTTTTTACTTTTAATTCGGTTATGTTTTACAGTTGTTTCCATAGAGGTACGTGTAGTACTAAATATATATATATATATATTGATTAACAATTGTTGTGACATTTTAAGATTCATAAATTGTTATAGTTATAAACGCTGTGTAAGTTAACAATAGTTAATATCGAAACAAATTGGTATTACAAAACAACTGACTTTTAACCCAAATTAGGTTACCTACGGGTACTCTAAGCCATTTTAGTCAAGTGTGAGTTTTAAATTGAATTGTAGGTTTGAAGGTGTCCTACTATTTCATTGATCGATGTACTAACACGAAGGTATATATATCTACAAGTCAGATTACTAGATATCATTGTTTTACTATGAGCGAAAGCAACTATCAGACATAGAAATATCTTGCGCAGGAATTTCAATCCTCTAAGTTCAGTTTTAGTTGTGTAACATCAATAAATGGAGGTATAATCCTAACGTGTGACTTGTAAGTAACATTTTAACTTGTCGTCCGTAAACAACATTCTAATCTGATATTAGTAACAATGCCCAAATAATTTACTTCTAAAAATATCCTAAGGAATTATTCGCAAGAATATCCTAACGTGCTTTTCCGTAGGCATTGTATTTAATTTTTAGTCTTAAGCAACACCCTAACGTGTTATCCATAAGCAAACTCCTAAAGAGTTATATGTAAACAATTTCCTGACTTTTTAGCCTTAAGCACCATCCTATATTTATCCATAAGCATTTTATAAAGGCCATAAGCCATGTTTTAACACACTATTCATAGCAACATCCTAACGTGCCATTGTAAGAAACATTCAAAACTTATTAAAAAACAAAATGTTTCAAGACAGTCGCATCATTGGTACAGTCTTGGCCACAATGTTTGTATTCTGTTTTATATTAATGTTATTGTCTACATGCTTAGAGTAGTTATTGAGTAAATGCCCGAGTAGCAACAGAGAAGGTAGCGTATGATCGGACAGTCATGTGTGAGTCATTATTCTGGTCTGTATAAGTTGTTTTTAGCATTTGTTCGTCAAAACACACATACACACCTGTTTTGTATAAAGAGTGTACTTTTGGTATAATCGTTTTCGAAACAGATCAAAACTTTGTTCAGAGATTTCGCTGTACTTCGTGTAAGTCGTGCCTCGTCACGTGTCAGAAGTTATAGGGCGTCAAATTGTCCACAAACGGTATGGAGAAATGGCCATTGCCAGAACAGTAGGGTACCCTCGGTTTACTGTACCCATAACAGTGTAACGTAATTGAACTACAGGAAACGTTGTTCCAAGAAAGTCTACGGGTAGATGCCGAAAAACTACTGTTCGAGATGACCCTGTTTTGATCAGGTTAACACGTCAATTTCGAAAAAGGTCTTGCAACATTTTAGGATAAGAATGGCATGAATACATTGATTCCAGGGTATCCAGAACAACAGTCATTATAAGACTGAACAAAGAAGGTTATTTTGCAAGAAAGGCTACCTGCAAGCCGATATTAATCAGAATTCACTATCGTCACCATGTTACTTGGGCAAGACAGGATGCCAGTTTATAGTTAGGACACTGACAACATGTGATATTTTCACGTGAGTCCTGTTTCCGGTTTGTTAAAGCTGATGGTAGGATTCGTGTCCGTCGTTTGCCTGGAGAAAAGATGAGCGAAGATGGTATTTCACATAAGAAACACATAGGAAGTGATGTTTGGGCAGTTATTCATCATGGTGGAAAAACTGCTTTTCATATCCTTCAGGGAAAGGTCAATGGTAGGGCTAGGTTTGGCAATAACTTTGCGTTCCAGTATAACAATGCCACTGTCCACAATGCGTGTATTGTACAGGATTATCTCAACCAGAAAGATGTTACAAGATTACCATGGCCAGCCAGCAAAGTCTTCAGGTTATATTCTCATTGAGAACTGGAGGGCAGAGCTAAGCCAGAAAATTCCGAATCACTACAATAAATCAGCTACTGTAGCTAAGTCGCAGCGCCTTCTAGTGATAATTTGGGATAAAATCACTGTGGATTACATCAATAACCTTATGATAATTATAATAATTTGATGGTATATTTTGTCACTATATACAGTATGTTTTTCTAAGGTTTTGTTGTGATAGGCGAAATGCTGAATTATACATCTTTCTATAGATGTCTGATAAAATTGTTTGCTGTTTTAATAAATCGTTCATGGTGCCCATAGAACCTGCTTCATTATACAAACTAGATATGTAAATGTTTAATATAACATTCATTTCTCAGTTTGACATTGCTAAGTGTATTTGTATTCCATCTTAATAATAATGATCTTATTTGTTACAAAATATACAAACATTTTAGCTAAGGCTGTAGTTATTTAGAATGATTATGTATTGTATGTTGCCCATCAGTGGTACAGCGGTAAGTCTACGGACTTATAACGATAGAAAATGGGTTTCGATACCTGTGGTGAGCACAGCACAGATAGCCTATTAAGTTGCTTTGCGTCTAACTACAAACATATATGTTGGTTTGTCTTTAAGTCTGCGATTGTTTTATGTTTTACTGTAACTTGAACCTACATAATGTTCGTGTTTCTTTACATTATCTATACAGTGGAGTTGAGTACCAGTACAAAATGTTCTTATTTTTATGAGAGCTTCTTATTTTATAGCTGGTACAACTGAATCGTCTATAACATTTCTAACAAAACCCGCGAACTGTCTTCAACTTAAATAATTAAAACAAAAACCGGTTTAAGTACTTTGACTCCATTTTTACGAAACTAAAACCAATAAAACAATATATATTAAAAAAAAAAGATTTTAGAAGATAAAATTTTTAAACTTAACAATATTTCAGTAAATTATATATATATATATCACTTTTATGTAACAGTGCTCGAAATTAGCATATTATATCCGTATGTTTTTGTAAACTTCCACTAACGCTTTAGTAGACCTAGAATATTATACAAACTACTAAAATGTAGTTGAAATGGATTTCTTTAACATAAGTTACGTCACGTAAGCCTCTATAATCTATTGAAAAATACATGTAGCAGTATATTTAGAGTCGCTTTCATTTAAAGAACAGAATTATTATGAGATAACTTGTTAAAATCATAAATCATATATACTTTAACCTCATAACAATATTTATCAGAACATGCAAATATTTAAATGGAAATATGATACAACGAATTATCTCTCCGTCGTATCATATATCACAAAAAAAGGACTAGCTAATACAATATATAGATGAAAGAATACTGAAATCCTATAGAAATTCAGTACAGCTTTTCTACTACGTGAGAAGAGGATTAAACAGTTCGAAAATACAATCAAATAATGCTAGAGCCGATAATTTCCGTGAGAACTACGATAAACAGACAAACAACAACAAAACAATAACTCGTGATTAAGCAGTTCGAAATGCAAAAATCGGATCTTATTTATGTAGAACACAGTGAAGCAAGCACAGTGTAATACAGAAAACATTAAAGTCCGGACAAGTTGGGTGTTGATTTCGCAAAGAGAATCACTTTGAACATAGGAAGATTCCGTTATCTATTTCAGAGGTTACCTAGAAAAATAGTCTTTTTAATGGATATAAAAGCTATAAACGAAAAATGAACATATATTTCAGGTATTAATTGTACCTTTGATATTCATAAGAACGACTAACTAAGGCAATAGTTTATCACCTACTAAGGTATGATCGTTTTTAGTTTTAAAATGAATAAGATAAAAAAAAATCAATTACTCGGAGTTAATTAAATCCGATAGGTTTACGTAGAATGGCATACGTATTTCAACTTGTCTCATTTTATGTTTATAGTTTTCATTTATATATTCAAATGTATTACATGTGTTTTAAAAAGGCGAATGGTGTTACTGTGCTTCTGTAGGACTGCATACAGGTTTCGACTTGTCTCAACTTGTGTTTATTGTTTTTATTCATATATTACATGTGTTTCTATAGGAGGATTGTGTTATTAACACATTTAACGTACTGTTGAAAAGTTTTTATCACGTGTAATGTATCGTTTTAGTAAATATTGAACCAGGGTGCTGCTGTATTTTTATGATTAAGTACTAATTATAGTTTTCGCTCTAATATTCAATTATACTTTTTTACATTTTTCGAAGTTTTAAGTGACATACACTTATCTTAAATTCATTTCTATAATTATTATATATCATCTATTCATCCCGAAAAGGATACTTGTTTAATTTTCTAAATAATATAGAATAATTTAGTATACACATATAATGCATGTTTCACTAGTTATAATGCTTGGCTTTATGGATTAAACATATTCTTATATTAACCCTCCATGTATATAGCTCTGTTTTCATCCATATCTTTAAGTTTAACATCTGGTTAATAAACTCTGTAGTAAATACTTTTGCTACAAATATATATAATAAATAAATGACTTTCTGTTTAACCAATGACTTTACTATTATAGAAATTATTTAAAATAGCAACACTTACCAATTTCTATAGAATATTCCCTTGAAGTATAAAACATACAATACAAATAAAAGTAAAAACTTTGTGGTTTTAGAATACAGCTTATAAACGACCTTCTCCATGTTTTTCTTGCATTAATCAAAACTTTTGCAACAATCATTAAGATATCACTACTGAAACTACTTGCACATAGACGTTCTAATCGTTTCTATCTGTGGGTCATTAACACGTGGAGAAATTTCACTCTGATTCATTATGACTTAGATCAGTGTATCTAATTTCAAAACAGTTGAGCTGACTAAATTATTAAACGTACAAACCAGAAACAAAAGTTGAACAATACATTTTAAATACATAGTATGTTTACATTATAGCAAAGAGTTTTTTACTTAAATTGTTCAAATCTAGATAAATTCAAAATTGTAGAGGTTTCTCATTTGTTTGTTTGTTTGTAATTAAGCACAAAGCTACGCAATGAGCTATCTGTTCTCTGCCCGCCACGGGTATCGAAACGCGGATTCTAGCATTGTAAGTCCGCAGACATGCCGCTGTGCCACTGGGGGTAGGTTTCTCACCTCTATTCTTTTATGTTTATAAATCTTATACATTTACTATTTATCTTTCAAGAATACAGTTTACAACAAAAACGAGGCTAAAGTCATGACACTTTCAAATGTATATATTTGTTGACAAATCAAAGATTCTATTATGCTATAACAAATAAACTTACTCATAATACATATGAACTTAGTTTATAAACAATATAGTACAATTCTTGTATTTCAATGGTTACATTACAACAAAAACACTTTATATACTCTAGTCAATAAGATTGAACTCTGTACAACATCAAGCAATTGGTCAAAAGTTCAGACGTGGTTAATCTACAAATATGTTATAAAATATTTTTCAACAAGGCGTTTATTTAAATCTCTAAATATTATGCAATAATTTAACATACAAGCTTACATTTTCACTTCTTATGAATTAAATATTCTATTCCTCTATCCATATAACTATGCTTTGTATTGTATATAACAGTTCTTGACCAAATATTTCAGTTACATATGTTTCACAAAGACTGACAGTGTTTCTATGGGTAGATGACGTTATTATTGTTAGGTCTTAGTAAGGGTAATATTACTTTAGGCGGATGATATAACTAAGGACAATGTTTTTATAGTTCTGTAGTATTTAAACATATCTGGTGTTTTGCTTTTACAAGTAAAACTCTTATTTCAATGAGACAACTATTATAACTCTGTTACATATAACAGTTTTTATCATGCATCATTATCCATTATTTGAATGAGACAGATTATCATAGCCAATAATTTACCTTACATACTTTCAGAATTATTGTCCTGAAAAGGATGATTATATGTTTGCCATCAAATGATTTCTAGATATGTAATGACCAATGTCACACACATACAAATGGTGTTGGCTATTGCTAGCTGTAAATTTAACAAAATCTCAGTCAAAACACTAATTACATCATTTATTAACTCATTCTGCAGGAGCATCCTTTACTGTGCATGTCTCGAGGTTTTAGTGACTTACATTCGAATTTTAATTAGACTACTTTTTGTTTATGCTATAACAATTAATATAGCATAAAATCATAGCTAATAATCTATAATAACGCTTTAATTTGGCGTTATTAAAGTTTTTAATTTTATAAGGCAATATTTTAAAAAAATCCCAAATTTCCCCTAGTGTGAGAAATATAACATATTTTCTCTAGGAATCCCCTCTTTTCTTTTTTTTAGTCACCAACCCTCTAATAAGTACGAAATTTAATGTAATAGAAAATCAGACCCCTTGTGCCACACCCACCTGTTACATCCTCTCTTTTAGGATTTGTTAATAGTTCTCTCTCTTACGTTTAATTCTATATTATATATAACCAATAGAAAGCCAAGGTTTTCTTCTATCAAATGGCGTATTACATTACGTTGTTTTCTGAGCAGAGAATTTATCATCCCTATTAGTATAAGCTTTGTTTCCATGGGAAAGATAATGACTAGCTTGGATGAATTTGTAACGGCTCTTGTCACATACTTAGAAGCCCATAAAAATTGTGATAGTTAGACAGTTGTCTGCATTTTGCATTTCAGTATTCTATTTGCTTTGGTGCATTATTTAATTAAATAAAAAAATATTTAGTGCATTACTACAATTAGTATAAAAAGTAGTGTTAAGTGTCATAGACAGTGAACAGCAAAAAAAAAAAGACCCCGTAAGTATTTTATTTCTTGTTTTTTTTATTTTTATTCTTTATTTATTATTATAAAAGTAACTAAAATATCTTTAGGTTAGTTAAGATTAGATTAGATAAAATAAATAATAATATAATAAAAATGTTTCACGAGGCACACATGCAAGCAGCTCCGAGTAGCTTGTGGATAATGTAATTCAATAAGGTAACGTGAGCTCCATTTTAAACGAATACAAAGATGTCATGTGGTCGGTCAAATCGACCGAGCCCGTGTTGAAACATTTAAGTTATTTAACTTTAGGTGTTGTATTTCCAGACAATTCACGAGCTCAAGTACTCGGTAAAAGGTCTCGTCGGTAACGGCATACGTTGCAAAGTCCGTCAGTCCAGATGGTGTTACATTTCTCCTTGTTGGGAACCCGTAATAAAGAAAGACTTGTAAAGAAATATGATCAGTCTTATTGTCATGCATTCGAACATTCCCTCTCTGAGGTAACCAATCAGTGTGCATGTCTTAACTATCCCCATAACTACTGATATACAATTGCAAATTTCTTGCAAAATTGACTTGGTTTTTTATTGATTATTATGAGTTTGAAGTGTTCTCTTTTTCCTTCTATCTTCATCTGGGACTTTTGTACAGAAATTTTCGATTTTCTTTTGCTTGATTATCTTACTTGAAACATTGTATGTAACATCAAAATATAGGCAGAAGGAAAAGCTTATTAAATGTTTCTCCTCTCAGTTTAACATGTAGCTCTCAATGCATTACTATTTTTGAGAGGCAAGCCCGTCACTTTGCGTTACCAAGCAAGATCTTCATATGTTCGTTAAGATATATTAATTTCTGTATAAAATTGTTTTCTTTATATTATGCTCATAAAATCATGTTTGAATTCTTAGCTTTACTTGAAATGTATGAATTTATGAATTAATATGTATCTATCGTATTGGTTAGAAGAGTGAGCTGTTGAATAAAACATAAACAAAAATATTTAGTCTGAAGTTGCCGTCCATTCCAGTTTACTCATCATAAACAGGTTTTGATTTTCAATGTGATATAACTAAAGTTCTATACATATTACTAATACGTTATTTAGTAATATAATACTGTGTATAAAATAATATGGCGATAAATTGTTATTTGAAGTACGAAGTTAGTATGAAACCTAGCAACACAGATGTGCAAAGTAAATGACAGAATCACTAGGTGACGGTGCTTGATAGTTACTTTTGGTAGTGCATAACTTTCATACTATTCAGATACTTGAAAAGGATGAATACCCACTGTACATTGATGTTTCGCTCAGACAAGGTTGCGTCGTGAGTACTGTTTGTGGAAACGAGTTGTTCAGGTAGTGGTTCTCATCGTAGTAACTTGACTGATAATCATTCAATAAGGCGTCCAGCATTAAGTTCTCTGAATCACAGAACAGAAATGGCTCTCCCTTATTATTGTAGAACTAAAACAGTAGCAAACGTGCATTATCTATCTACCTATCTAAGTCATACAAACGTATAGAGAAAATATATTTTATTCTTGGAATACCTTAAAATTATGGCTATAAAGCAAAACATAAATAAGTCATTATTATTTTGATTAACTGTGTTGTTTTAGTTTAGTTAAATGTGTTTGCAAAGATGTGCAAGATAAGTGGAAGTAAACTGTTCTAGCATTAGGTTATAGAGATGTTGAGATTGTTCTTCATGCACATTTTATTTAAACAGTTGCGGTACAGCTTTTTATAATAAATATATTTCATGATTAAATGTAAGATAGAAAATGATGTGAAATTCTGTTGGAGGCATTTGAAAAACGAAAATTTTTATGTAAATACAATAAAACCACGTACGTTTATTATCGACTAGCAGCTATTCAGCTAATAGCCTCGTGTGGAGAAATTCGTCAAATTCGCTGCGTATTGGATCATTTATTCCATTTTGATGCGTATAATTCAACTTGATGAATTACGTAACCATCAACTTAAACAGCGTTATTAATGTAAAACAAAGTTAATTATTATTCAAACGTACTGTAATATGGTACTCATCTTGGCAATGTTAGGTGCTCCTATATAGCCATGTTTTAAAACTTGAAACCACCAGACTGTGACAAAATAAACATAAAAATTCGAGATTACAAGCCATTTTAATTCGTGTTTCAGGATACTGCTATGGTTTTGGTTACTTACTAGAGAATTTTTTATCATCGGCTCTAGTATAGACTCTCCTTCCTCAAATTATGGAGTCTTATCACAGAACGTTTGTTAGTGCTTCCTAATTTCGAATGACAGGCCACAGGGAGACAACCGGTCGATAGCAACCTACTGGTATTTTGTTATATATGCTGTTTGTTTAGTTATTAATTAATTAATTAATCTTTCATTTTCTTAATTATTTATTATTATGTATCAGTTAGTTTCACAATAAATTCCTAATGTAAGTAGGAGGGAACTGCGCTTTTAATATGAGGAAGTGAAGACTGCTAATCGCTGCACCGCCATTATTGTCCCAAATGTGTCACATTCAATAAGAAAACCTTGGGATAAATTATTGAAAATTTTCAAATTAATTTGTCGGTACAATGTGCTCCTTCCTATCAGAAAATCAGGACAATTTTTATCAAACAAATACCAAGATTCTGATACTTATGTTTCAAATGCGCTGAGTTTTACATCGGTGAAACCTACAGACAGGTTCCTACAATGCAAATGTTTATGAACCATGTCCAGATACAGCCATATGTTCCATCTTAATGATATTGAAATTCTCATTATAAAAAAGAAAGAAATAAGAAAAAACCGACGCAAACTAAAGGAACCCTTATTCGTTAAACACTTTGAACCTAAGATAAATAAGTATTGTTTCCAACCTTGTTTAAACTTGTAATTGATGAATGATTGTATATTATATATATATATATTCTATTTTAAAATGACTTTGTAACATAATAATAATATTTTGACTATTTGAATGTACAGGATGTATAGCTAATATATATTACAGTAATGTTTATTATATGTGTATGCTACTCTGCTAGATATCTGAAATTGTTTTGTTGTAAATTTTCTTAATATTCATAAGAATTTTAACATTTGGGAATCTACTGCTGTTTAATTGAAGTCAAACACATCTATAAACTTGAATAAGCGACTAACCATTTTAAACTTCAAACAGTATAATGCACCCATTTGGTAGTTGTTCGTGTTTTATAGATTTCGTTTGTTTTTTATTTGATAATAAACAAGTGTTTTAGTTGTGCTGATAATTACGTCCTTTACTTATTTAGTTCGATTTCTTAATAGAAAGAAGTCCGTATTTTCCTTAACAGCAAACAGAACCAACACTGGCATTCTATTTTGTAGTCTTCCCGGACTTCGATGTCTTAACAATTAAAGAACAAGCTTACTAATGTGTTATCTAACTGCCTGCCATTTAGTACCGGCTCTACACTACTGCAATAAGGGCAAACCAATGTAACCCTTATTTTCTATGAATAATGTAGTATAAAATTCCTCAGTTTAAGTAAACTGATCCAAGTTGACTATTGTATTCTTAAAATAACTCGAAATTAATCATGATATTTGTAAGAAATTAAGAAAAATATAAACTTGACTACATGCAAATCAAATTTCGAGAGCTTATCTATCAATCGTATTTTTTCTCCAGCGCTCTCGAGTTTGTTTGTTTTTTCTACTATTATATTCCCTATAAAAATGAATCTAACACAAGTACTCTTAGTAGATAATTTCTGGAATAGATGCAAAATCTTACTTTTATATTACGTAGTTACAATAATGACATGCAAGTGCCTTACCTCATTTGACAACAGGAAATTATCTGGTTGGTCAATTACCTTCTGTGGAATAAACTGTTGTAGATCAGATTGACTGATCATCTTCTTCTAGAGTTCTGGCAGACTTCAGTTGATAAAACATGAAAAAAAGAAGCAACATTATATCTACGTGTCATTAATGCTCTGTAAAAAAATCATATTTTCAAACTATAAAGTTAAAATCTGAAAATTAATTTTTCAGTTAACTTTCTGATTAAATACTCACAGCATATTACTTATAAATTCGTAGATTATTGCGCTCTTTTATATTTAAGTTATTTGTTTCCTTCTTTCTCTCATGTTGATATTGTAAAAAATCAGTATAAGATATCAAATTGCATTTGAAAATTTCTACAAAAGAAGTAATGGTAGTTAGCAAAGCTGTGAACTCAAAGGGAAATTTTAGAAAAGAAACGCTACAAGTATAGTGGGAACATTTTTTATTTTTTGTCTTCTCAGCTTTTTGGGAACAAAGAAGGATAATTTGCCAAATAATTTTGGTAGCAAAAAAAGTTACCACAACTCATTTCAAAGCATATCATTATCAGAGTAACTTTTTTTAACAAATCAGACAGTAGAAACTTTGACAGTAGAATGTAGGCTTAAAGGTTGTTTGATGGTTGCAATGCGAATTTGAATTCAACATGTACTTTCTAGTTAAAACCAGATACTTCCGCATCTAATTTAACTACAAAACAATAATGCCCTGAAGAGGGTTGTGCGCTGGCTGAGAGTGCGTTAAATATTCAATTAGTTTTAGCTGTGTTTAACGCTTTGTTAACTGTGGGGAATTGAACGCAGGATTTTAGCATTACAAATATTTATCTGAAGAAGTATTCAATATGTAAAGTTCAAAAACATCGTTCCATCAAATTCATATTTTGGTATATTACCTGTAGTAGAGACTACCCAGTGACAAAATATGCTGAAAAACGGTGTACGGAAATAAAATTATAGTTGACTGATTTGGTACGCCAAAGCTGCAATATTTCCTCAAGTCGTTATATTGACGACGTTATCAAAGCAACCTAATAGTGTTTTGAACTAAGTTTTTAGAATGAAGTTATGATAGTCTATAAGCATACAAGTTTCATCGATATTGGATGCTATCTTCACACTTTTCATCTTTATTTCTGGAATTCTCTCTCTCCCATATGTACCAAATCTTGAAGGCCCTACGTGGAATGGGGTTAATTACATTATTTGCGATAAATGGAAAATATCAAAGCCGATTTTTGCGGAAATGGAATATATGTTACAGAGAGCAAAATTTTGGTTCAAAAGGTACCGTCCTTTGATGAGTTGGCTGTAAGTCTACGGACTTAAAATCGGGTTTCATTTCCCTGCGATGACCAGAATGCAGTTAGCTTTGCGCTAAACTAAATAACAACAACCAACAGTACCAAAAACAGCTTGGTACCATTCTTTCCAGGTCTAACCTTTCAACGACCATACTAGAGCAAGAATTTGTCAAATGACAATTACTTATACGTCAGCGGATGAGGCACCGAAATTCTACACTTAACTTGAAGGTAAAATGTTATAATAATTAAACCAGTAAAATCTTTCAATCGTATTTGGTGCGTAACATTCTTTTAATTTTTTTCCCCCAAGAATCGTAGGTACAATATAGTATGATGAAAGTTGTAAGTGTTGGATACCAGTGTAACAGAAAATATAATATAACAAAAATGTGTATATTTGCTGTTTCATTTTCTATAGTTAAGCGCAAAACTACGCAAAGTGCTATCTGTGCTCTGCCGGTATCGAAACCCGATGTTTAGTGTTATAAATTTTCAGACTTACTGCTGAGCTACTGGAGGGTGTATTTCATTTATCTTAGGTTAAAAATGAGTTCTCTATGTTATACAGCTATAATTGATAAATCATTATGATCAATAACTCGGCAAACTCTGAAACGTCGTCTTCAAAAAAGGTAATCTGTATGAGCTCTTTGTTTGTAGTTAAGCACAAAGCTACACAATGGGCTATCTGTGCTCTGCCCACCACGGGTATCGAAACCCGGATTCTAGCGTTGTAAGTCCGCAGATATACCGCTGTGCCACTGGGGGGCATCTGTATGATACTATTTAACAATATAAAAATCAACTCAAAAACCAACCTGCTAAATTACTGCAAAATGCAGTCGTCGAGGTGTTGTTGCGGCCCTATGCTCCAGTGGGAGTCTACAGGGATTATTATTATATATAATCAGGACGTAAAATTTTATACTGTGTTGTATGGCGGAGCCTAGCTTACTATGTTTTCTTAATATACAATATTGAAACGTGTTTATTTGCTCATGAAATCTTAAAAATACATAGAACTAGTAATAAATAATCAATTTTTAACAATTTATTATGTATTTGATAATCTAAGTTATAGTAAGTATCTTAAAGAATATGCCAGTTTCGTCAGCAGTAATTCTAAACACCAGTATTCTGGAATGTTGTTAGAATTTTTTTAAACTGTCGGAAAAACAAAAGTGTTTTTCTATTTAAACAACATTTATCAAATATAGTTGAGAATGGTAAAAATGATTTTATACTTAAAAATGCAATTTTTAAGAGTGCTGACAATATATTAGACAAGAATATGGCTCGAAGAATCTTTCGATTTTGGTGACAAACAACATTAAATAAATTAAGATTATAGCTTAAAGAATCTTTGGAGTTGGATGACGGATGATAAAAATAACATGTATATAGCTTGGATAATTGCTGGATCTGGATGACGGGTGATAAACAAAGAATACAATAAAATAGCTTGAATAATCTCTCAAGCTGGCAGGCTAGGACAAAAGTCCAGGTAAAGTTCTATATAATAATGAATTCCAATAATCTCAGTTTTATACCAGCATTTGCGTAGATGGATTTAAATTAAATTATACTTAAATAAGGGGATAAAACGCTGATTTATCAGTAGTACGAATAAATCACACCTTCAGAATACTACAAAATACCTAACTATTTTCAATTATCTATTACAGTTCCTGACATTAAATATTCTAAGTCCATGTTCATCTTGCGTCTTACCTCCATCATTTGGATCCAAAGAAGTATTTGAAGGGGAATAAGCCACTGATTTATCCATACTGTCGTCTACTTAATATAAATATGGGAAAGAGACAGGCAATATTTAGTTAGTTTATTTAATCCATCTTTACACGTGAAACATTAAAAACGCTAAGGTTCCAATGGTGAAGAAAAACTTAATAAAAGTCCAATGGTGTTTGAAATAATAACAATATTAACATTACATAACGGTGGAGATAATCGGTTACAATATGTTGGCTTGAGAAAGTTACCAGTGTGACGTGGGTCTGTAAATAATACAAACAAAACACTACAGCACCTTTCGTACAATGTATCCGAACGAAGACCCCAACTATCTAAGGGTATGCATGTTTACATTTTTCATTGTTATTAGAACAATGTCTTATATCAAAGCTATTTGAAGTAACTCACAAACCTGTAGTAACTAAGCTTTACTTATTTTTATACAGTACTCCCAATCAGTAACGCATAATTGAACTATCTGCTGTGTTATCATTAATTTTTATTAATCAGATAACACTGCTAGACAATGAGATCAATTCAAGAACTTGCAGTAATAATAAACGTAACTGATACGTATAAAGTAATTCTTACCTTGCAATAGAATTGATTAAACTGCAATGAAATAGGGTGCTAATCGTTGTACAACAAAAGCATGAACTGAATTATTCATTGACAGTTTTGTAACAGCTTTATCCAGTCACATGACCACGTTAACGCCCATTCGTCAACTTGCGGCTGGCTTTAAACTGTGCTCAACAATTAGAGTTCTGTTTTTATTATTATCACTTGACAAACTATTTTCTTGAATATATTGTTCTGGACCTTTTTCCTTCCCAAAGCCTGTAGACTTCTTTTATTTTTTTTATAATTGGCAAAAATAATCTATAACATAACCACTGACGTGGCTGAAATAATGATATGAAAACCAATGGGCAGTCTTTAAGTTTTATGACATATTTGCAATTCAACAAATGAAAAGAGAATTTCCCTGACGTCAGATAAGTTTCACAATTAAATCTTACAGTAATAGTGGCTTCTGCCAAAATTAAAGACAAATAATTTGTCAAATAATTCTCAGTCATATCTGGTCTTTAAATCGATAACATTAAAACCAGGGTAGTATAGAAGAGCTACAACAAGAATTAGTAATATAGGACTTGGTCTGATATCTTTCATGGTTATATATTATAGTTTCAATGTGAATACAGAACGGAAGAATTTTGAACAGAAGTAGAATGAAACAAACGTAAATATAACACTTTTCGCACTTTAATTCCATAAAACAATATGTGTTAGGTATCATAAAAATATTAAATCATATAATAAAACATTTGATTTATTTTCAAGCTGCAAAACTTACAAAGTTAGATGATACCATATATACATTATCTTTCCATAAGCGTTTAGGCTTATGAATTCTAATTACTCAACAAAAACTCCCAGTATAGGTAAAAATAATAGGTTTATGAACGTTAAAACATTAGATTTGTAGTGATGGAAATAATAGAACGTAATGACCTTAGAAAAAATGTAAACTATTATGCAAGTAAAATATCAAAACCTATAGATTTACAAAAACACGTCAAATGAAATATTCGTATTAATAAAATGACAACACCTATAAATTTACAAAAACGAATAAAGCCAAATCTTCATATTGACAAAAAATAAACATCTGTAGATTTAAAAAAGTCAAGTGTAATTTTCATATTAGTAAAATATGAACACCTGTAGATTCACGAAAAGAAGTAAAAATTTCACATGAGTAAAATATTAACACCTGCAGATTCACAAAAACAAGTAAGATGTATAAAAACAGGTCAATGATAAATGCCATATGTACAAAAAATTAAAACCATTACATGAGCGAAAACAAGACAAGGTCATCTTTTTATATTAGCGAAACATGAACACCAGCAGATGTAGAGAAACAAGTGAAATCTTCCCATTTTGTATTATTCACTGTTAGCTTTAAGCCACGTACACTGATATACATATTTCCCTTTCAAATATACATTTA